AAGCCCTGTGGGTCCTGGCACATTTCACCTGGATCCGTGAAGCAGGCGTCATCGCACGCCAGAAGGCAGGTGATGTACTTCTTGGCCACCCACCTCCTCTCCAGGGCATAGAAGAAGCGGGAGCCACAGTCCATCTCCTGAAGGAGCTAGATGCACGAGCAGACAAATGCACCATGGGTGCGGTAGTCATCCAGAGCACGAAGCTCTTCATGCCTCTGTCGACACTCTCTGCAGAGAGAGTTGGTTGGGTCGGTGGCCAGGCACCTCTCTGGCTCCAGCACTTTCAGCTCAACCTGCTCCCAGACTGCCTCCCTCTGCTGGGTGTGTCCCAGAATAGCTGTAGCAAAAAAGCCGGATGTGCACCTTCCCCATGTTCCACCATCTCTGACCTGAAGGGAAAGCTGCCCATTGCTCCTACCAGGCCTGCCAGAAGTCCCAGATGGCTTCCCTGAAGCCCACATCCTCCAGCAGACTGGCATTGAAATGCCCATAGGCCAACCCTGCATGCCCAGGCCCTAGCGTGGCCTGGGCCCAGACAAGGTGGTGATCTCTGAAAGAGGTTGACCGGATGCCAGAGGAGTGGGCTCAGGCAAAGTGAGGCAAAGAGATATAAAATCTGGTCCAAATGGGAGTGGCATGCCTGCTCCTCCCCCACCCACATATAGGTGAAGGCAGGGGGGCCGGTATGGTAACAGGCATGCTAGAGGTTCACTAGGGAGTAGTCCTCGGGGGGATCCTGACAGACGCCCAAGGTGGCCTGGTTCTGCTCCCTGCCCAAATGGTCTTGCACGTCTAGGATGATGTTAAAGTCCCTGCCAATGACCAGGTACTCACAAGGGTTGAGGGTGCTAATGTAAGCAGCCGCCTGGTGGAAAAAAATCCGCCAACTCTGGGTCCTTTGCAGTGACGTACACGTTCAGAAGGTTCAAGACCAGCCCCTGCACTTAGACCCGCAGGTGCAGCAGGTGGACTGACACTACCTCAACGTCCTGGAGAACCTCTGGCTGCAGGTCTGGAGAGAACAGGGTGGCCACCCCGCAAGAGGTGGCTGAAAGATGAATAAAAAAGACCCTGCCTCCCCACTCCAGGCACCAATTAAGCTTGTTGGCTGGAGTCATCAGGGTCTTCTGCAAGAATACCACAGGGTCTCCCTTGTTCTGAAGGAAGGAGTGCACCCAGCATCTTCAGAGACCCTTCCTGCAGCCATGGATGTTGAGGGTCACTATCTTAAGTGACCTCATGGCCGG